TTACTGAAATAAATGAACTTTTCCACAACATTCTAATTTATTGAGATATATATATATATATATATATATATATATATATAATTTCAGCTCCGATTTGGACCGTAGAGAATAATTAGACCCAAATACTGTACTCTTTGTTTTTAGATGTATTTAGTATCAACTTGTTTTCTAAAATCCACTTTTCTGTACTCTCCAACTCCTCATTCAAAATAGCGTCAATTCAACTGACGTTTGTGCAGATGCATAAACTTGTTGAACATGTTGTATCGTCTGCATACATTAATTTAACACTTTTTAATACCAGATATAAATCATGGTATTAATGATTTATATGATGTACAGTATCTCACAGAAGTGAGTACACCCCTCACATTTTTGTAAATATTTTATTATATCTGTTCATGTGACAACACTGAAGAAATGACACTTTGCTACAATGTAAAGTAGTGAGTGTACAGCTTGTATAACAGTGTAAATTTGCTGTCCCCTCAAAATAACTCAACACACAGCCATTAATGTCTAAACCGCTGGCCACAAAAGTGAGTACACCCCTAAGTGAAAATGTCCAAATTGGGCCCAATTAGCCATTTTCTCTCCCCGGTGTCATGTGACTCATTAGTGTTACAAGGTCTCAGGTGTGAATGGGGAGCAGGTGTGTTAAATTTGGTGTTATCACTCTCACTCTCTCATACTCTGCTTGACTGAAACCTGGCTAAAACCAAATGATTATATTGGTCTAAATGAGTCTACTCCACCAAGCTACTGTTATAAGCATGAGCCCCGTCAGACTGGCCGTGGCGGCGGTGTTGCAACAATATATAGTGATATTTTCACTGTTACTCAGAAGACAGGATACAGGTTTAACTCATTCGAAATACTTCTGCTTAATGTTACACTGTCAGATATGCTAAATAAATCTATCGTATCTCTTGCGCTGGCTACTGTGTATAGACCACCAGGGCCGTATATACAGATTTCCTAAAATAATTTGCAGATTTTCTCTCAGACCTATTGGTTACTGTTGATAAAGCGCTAATTGTCTTAGATTTTAACATTCACGTGACGTTGATAATACAAATGATGCATTAGGACTTGCGTTTACTGACCTAATAAACTCTAAAAAAAAAAAAAAAACTTGGAAGTTTTTAGAATTGCGTGGAAAAACAGTATGTCCAGCTATAGACAGGCTCTAAAAGCTGCCAGGGCCGAGCATATCCACAAACTCATAGAAAATAACCAAAACAATGTCAATGTGGATGTCAATACCGTGGCAGAATCAAATAGTGACATAATTAGCATAGCTGCTGTTCCAACCAAGTAAAATTAATTTGTTTAACCCAAGCTAAAGAATAATAATGTGCATTTGATCAGATATAACTGCAGTACAAGATTATGATATGCATTATTTGAATGCTTGGCCAAAGAGATGTGTCTTTAATCTAGATTTAAACAGAGAGAGTGTGTCTGAACCCCGAACGTTATCAGGAAGGCTATTCCAGAGTTTGGGAGCCAAATGTGAAAAAGCTCTACCTCCTTTAGTGGACTTTGATATCCTAGGTACTACCAAAAGTCCAGAGTTTTGCGACCTTAGGGAGCGTGATGGATTGTAGCGTGGTAGAAGACTAGTTAGGTACGCAGGAGCTAACCCATTAAGGGCCTTATAGGCAAGTAATACTATTTTGTAACTGATACGGAACTTAATAGGTAGCCAGTGCAGAGACTGTAAAATTGGGGTAATATGATCATATTTTCTTCACATAACATTGATCACATGAAATATGGTGGGCTAAAACTCAAATGTGTTCGTTGATAAATTTATATGTGAATAAAAGCCTAAATTAAATGGCAATTATGTCTCTTAAAAAACTTACACTACCGCTCAAATTTGGGATCAGTAAGACTTGTAATGTTTTTTAAAGAAGTCTTTTATGCTCATCAAGTCTGCATTTATTTGATAAAAAATACAGAGGAAAAAAACAGTAATATTGCAAAATGTTATTACGATATAAAACAATGGTTTCTATTTTAATATACTTTAAAATCGAATTTATTCCTGTAATCAAAGCTGCATTTTCAGCATCATTATTCTAGTCTTCAGCATCACATGATCCTTCAGAAATCATTCTAATATGCTGATTTATTATCAGTGCTGGAAACTGTTGTGCTGCTTAACATTTTTTTGGAACCTGTGATGCTTTTTATCAGGATTCTTTGATGAATAAAAAGTTAAAAAGAAAAGCATTTATTTAAAATGGAAATCTTTTCTAACAATATACACTACCATTCAAAAGTTTGGGGTCAGTACATTTTTATCCTTTCTTTTTTTTTTTAAAGAAATTAAAACTTTTATTCCGCAAGGATGTGTTAAATTGATAAGAAGTGATATCAAAGATTTATATTGTTAGAAAAGATTCATATTTTGAATAAATGCTGTTCTTTTTAACTTTTTATTCATCAAAGAATCCTGAAAAAAGTATCGCAGTTTCCCCAAAAATATTTGGCAGCACACCTGTTGCCAGCATTGATAATTATAATAATAAATCAGCATATTACAATGATTTCTTAAGGATCATGTGACACTTTAGACTAGAGTAATGGCTGATGGAAATTCAGCGTGGCATCACAGAAATAAATTATATTTTAAAGGATATTAAAATGGAAACCATTATTTTATATTGTAATAACATTTTGCGAGATTACTGTTTTTTTCTGTATTTTTGATCAAATAAATGCAGCCTTGATGAGCATAAGAGACTTCTTTAAAAAACATTACATGTCTTACTGATACCAAACTTTTGAGCGGTAGTGTATATGGATTCATTTTACAAACTCTTTAAAATATTTGAAGCTTGAAGTTTTGGTGGAGTAGACTTTCAATAGTGGGAAATCTCTCAGGTTTTAATAACAAAAGTTTAATTGATTTGGAGCGACATGAGGGTGAGTAAATGACAGTATTTACATTTTTGGGTGAACTATTCCTTTAATGTTATGGCAGTGAGGTGCTTAATTTGAATACGACCAAATTCTGATTAATATTCAAAGTGAAACTGTTGCATTCTGTGTAAGCATCTAAAAATGGTAATTACATAACTAGATTTTGCGTCTGTCTTCCAGGTACAGGCAGCGGCTCCCTGTCTCACTCTATTCTGCGGACCATCGCGCCCACCGGCCACCTGCACACGGTGGAGTTCCACGCTCAGCGAGCCGAGAAGGCCATGCAGGAGTTCAAGGAGCACAAAGTGTCTCACCTGGTTACTGTTAGAAACCAGGATGTGTGCAAGGATGGCTTTGGCATCACAGCAATAGCTGATGCAGTGTTTTTAGACATCCCCTCTCCATGGGAGGCAATCACACATGCCAAGAGCGCCATGAAACGCAAAGGTGAGAGGAGATAACTGTGAAATAATTAAATCGACATTACCATATTAATGCTAAATGTCATGTGGTACTCTGTCGTCGTGACTTACTCTTCACAGACGAAGCCACTGAAATGAGTCTTCAAGTAACAAGATATAAATGCTACTGAGTACCACAGTGACCTTTATGAACACAAAACCTCAGACACTTAAGTGGTACTGGCACAAAAATGTACAGTTTGCACACACTTATTTAAAGTACTGTGGAAGTGTAAACGCTGTGGTATTTACGTGGTGCTCCAAGCTACTTCAAAGAATACCATAGTGAAACAAGGGACATTTCCAAAAGAAGAAAACATTGCGACACCGTGTTTAAATTTGCAGTGTGATATCTTCCTTAAAGGGATAGTTCACCCAAAGATGAAAATTCTGTCATTATTTACTCACCTTCAAGTTGTTACAAACCTGTGTGAGTTTCTTTCTTCTGTTGAGCACAAAAGAATGAAGAAGTAAAGAATGTTGGTAACCAAACAGTTGACAGTAACCATTGATTTCCATAGTATGGGAAAAAAATACTATGGAAGTAAATGGCTACCCATCAACTGCTTGGTTATCGACATTATTCAAAATATATTCTTTTGTGTGTGTTAGAAGAATGAAAGTCAAAGAGGTTTGGAACAACATGAGGGTTTTCATTTTTAGCTGAACTCTCCCTTTAACTCCCCCTGATTGCCATTGACGTCAAAGAAATTGTCAAATAACCTCCGGGGAATGGGAGGTTTGGTGTGAGATTCATAATTGATTTGTTTAAATCTATATTCGGTGTAGGTTTTCATCTCAGTTATGGATGCAGCTTCTTTGAAACATTGACAGAGGCCCATTTTTCTCCATAATTACATCTTGGTTTTGTGGCTAAATGATGTCACACCAGTAACTAATTAATCGTGAGACTTTGGCTTGAGTTTGCCCAGTTTGAGCGGCATTCATAGCTTCTGTGTGCGCATCTGTTTTGTCTGTGGTCTTTCTGTTGGAATAGCTATTTGGTTTTATTGAGTGGCCATATCAGATCTGGTCTCTTCAGAAGTGACCTGACCACTTGGCAAGAGGCTGTTTCCATGGGAACTGCTACCCACTTTGCCCTACTGGGCAGGCCCAGACTAGCCTGTCCCAGTAAGGGGTCAGCAATCTTCTGTAGTATATTGAAAGAGGAATTTTCATTAAATGCCTTAAAAAGGTCTTATGGGTTTGGAACGACATGAGGGTAAATAATTAATGAAAGAATTTTCAGTTTTGGGTTACATTACATGCCATTGTTTAATATGTACATGCTTGTAAAGATTCTAAGAGTATAAGATCAGAGAGGATCTCCTGGTGATCTCGAATCTCTCTGTCTCATGCAAGTGGAATTTGTGCCTCACTCCATGCCACACCCCCTCTTGGAGACTCAGTCTATCTGATTTGTAATATACACACATGCTGGATGTTTTTGCTGGCAGGGTAATGACCATAAAGGGGCAGGCAGTGAGGCTTAAGTGAGCACGGGCAAAACTGAAGCTTAGACACACATCTGCTGGCTTCTTTCTCTGAGTTTTGACACATTGTCTTTCTTGTGCACTACTTATCAGTTTTCAGTGTAGAAAACTTAAGCACAGCTCTGGCTGTGAAAGCTTTGGATGACTACAAGCCAGTTGTCCTTGACTGCTAATATCCTTCTCACATCATATGCATCTTTTACAGCAATCAGAGTGATTTTATCTAACTCTTTATCCTATCTGTTTTTTTATTTCTTCTCATTTTTGGCCTGTTAGTCAGTCTCATTCTCTGTTTTAAGTGCTCAGAGTATCCCAGCTGTTGGCGTGACTCCTTTCTTTCCCAGGCCACTGTTGCCAGGAGACCTGTTAAGCCTGGTTGCCAGGAGGCCTGATGTCTCCGTTTATGACTGCGTTTTCATGGAAAGGCCTTATTTGTCAATGGAATGACATGATAAACTTCTCTCTCTCTCTCTCTCTCTCTCTCTCTCTCTCTCTCTCTCTCTCTCTCTCTCGCTTGTGAAATATACTTCTGTTAGTGCTCTTCAGCAACAGTCTTTATTCGTACATCACCCCTGTTCCAAATCCTAGCGAGCTGCCTATAGGCAGAGTTTCAAGGCATCATCAGTGCACTCCAGACACAAAAGCTGTTCCAAAAAAATCTAAGATCGCTGTTTTGTCCAAATTCAAAAAACTAGAATACACTACACAACAGATTTTTAGAACACTAGGCAGATATTTAAAAACTAGCCATCGTACTCTTGCCGACTAAATAGTTTGAGGGAAAACTGTGAATCACACACAAGCCATCCAATCAATACAATCCCATAATACATTCCCAACAAAATTGCCTGATTTGTAGTCTGTAGTCTTCCATTTGATTCATACAAAAATTTACTTTTTTAGTGAAAAAAAAACCTAAACTTGAAGGTCCACTCCCAAACCTAACCTTCAGTCAGGTGCAAAACAGATCATACGAAAATCCATTAATGAGATCATACCTTTCACTACCAATTCACCAAAACCTAAAAGAGTTATTAATTTCCATAAGAGTGTGATATCAAACATGTTTAATATTTTTAGCAAATTTTAGAACACATTGTTTTCATTTGTCATTAGCTGAAGGTTTCTGCTTGAGTGAGTTGTGTTCTGAGCAGTGGTGGAAAGAGTACTGAAAAAATATACTCAAGTAAAAGAACCATTACCTTCCAAAAAATTTAGTGCGAGTAGAGTAAAAGCACTTGTCCAAAAAACTACTTGAGTAAGAGTAAAAGAGTAGCCTATTTAAAAGTACTCATGAGTATTGAGTAGTGAGTACTGAGCTGTGGATTCTACCCCCTCATAATAAACGCTGTACACCGCAATTGATACATTTTAAAAATGTTGTACATTCTGTAATTCACATTATCTTGTTTGTCATAAAGAATGAAGAATATCTTTCATCCAGCAGTTTTAATTTTGACTGCCAACTCTTTAAAATACATCAAAACAGCACAGAAACAGTATTCAGTCGAATAAACAGTTATTCTCAGTACAATCATCCCCATTTAAATCATAAAGTTTGAAAAAATAGATTTAAAATCATGTGTAAGGCCACTGAGACAGCATGCTGTTGTTGCACATAAAATATTAATGTTTAGGACAGTGTAAATACAAACACCATTAGAAACTCATAGTTCAGCATCACACACCATGATATGGATTAAAATGAGAGCCCATTTCTCTCCAAAACGGTGCCAGTTTTAGCATTTTGCAATAAAGAAATAAAAATAACTAAACTTGATAATTTGTTACAATTTTACTATAAATGTACATTGTTCTAGAAGGATGGCATCATGCCATACCTTTTACACATTTACTTGAATTGTTATGCTGATAATACAATTTGTAAGGAAAAATGCATTAAATAGCGAAGTATTTCTGGGGAAACTTTTTCAAAGGAAAACACACACGCATGTCTCTTTGCTGAGCCGCGGCGGTCTCGGTGAATCAGCAGCATCCACAACTGAATGGAACAAAAAGTGTCAAACTTGAAAATTGTTTAACACTATGTAATACCCGCAACCTCACACCAAATTTCAGGCCGTGTAGATAGGCAAGCATATATACAAATCATTTAGTAAGCAGGAATCCGAAATTTACCATAACATATTAAGTTAGAGGAAGATGCGACTGAATTGATGCTTGAAGAATGCGCTTCCAGCAGCCATGATAAACAGTTGGTTAAAGTTTTCTATGTACAATTTGATTTGACGAAAGTCACGAGACCTATTACTATCTCTCTATCCAATCACGTTGATGGATAAAAAAAAATTAAAATAAGTGTGTAACGACTACAAACAGAGGAAAATAGTGGAGTAAAAGTACCGATACATCACTTAAAATGTACTCAAGTAAAAGTACACAATTTTTAAACTACTCAAAAAAAGTACAATTACTGATCAAAAGTACTTAATTACTGTAACATGAGTATTTGTAATTCGTTACTTCACACCCCTGGTTCTGAGTGACTTGAAAGTCTGGTAGTGTCTCTCCTCACTCATTTAGTGCATGATGCATTTTCCTCTGTAACCATTTATAATGTCATCAAATGTATGATACCTCGTGTTTTTGTTCAGATTTGAAACTTTGCGTGTTCCAGCCTTAAAGGGATAATTCACCCAAAAATAAAAAAACTGTCATTAATCACTCAACCTCATGTCGTTCCAAACACGTAAGACATTGGTCTCAAACTCAATTCCTGGAGGGCCACAGCTCTGCACAGTTTAGCTCCAACCCTAATCAAACACACCTGATCCAGCTAATCAAGCTCTCAGGATTACTAGAAATTTACAAGCAGGTGTGAGTTGGAGCTATATATAATTTTTTTTTTTTTTTTTTAAAGAACGCGTTAGTAATATGCGCCTATAGGCAGGTCTATTTGTTTAATAATATAATTTTGTTTAGACACCATTTGTTTGTTTTAATCTATTTATATAAGTAGATCCCTGATTCATCTCTTGTGAGAATTGTCAGGATCAAGAGAGACTTGGAACTTTGATCAGAGAGAAGGCAAACTGAGCCATTGTTGGAATGCTTTCCTACAGTGTTTGCCATTCATTATAGTTCTATAATTAATATTGACAGTGAGGGATGGGGTCATGCTGGATTAACTGAATGTGATTGGATTGAATCTAAAAAAAGATCCATAGAGTAAGCTATACCCATTTAGGTGTCTTCCTCAATATGCTCCTCTCCTCACAGCACCCTGTCTATCTTCTTACTCTGATCAGCAGTGGCTATTCTTGTGCATGTTAGTAATACCACCTTTAGTCCAAATTCCCTCCATCCGTGTTAGTGGAGAAAGAAGGCAAAGGAGCCACCCGTCCTCCATTTATCCAGTTATTATGAGACTGTTTAACAGTAAGCCAAGAATATGCAAGCATGAGCCTGTTGACTGCTCTCTGACCCTTTACAGCTTTGTGAGCTAACTCATGTTTCCAGTAAAATTGAACCATATTATGTACGACATCAATTCCTGACAATTCTCAGCAGGCCTGCATGTAATCTGCGCCCACAGAAGTTGCTGAAAGCTCTGTAGATTTCTGTTTTTACTGCTTTTGCTGTTTGAGCAGCCTGACATAGTGTGACATAACTATTGGCTTAACCAATGACGTGATTTTGGGGGCGGGGCTTCTTACAGTGAGTGTGTTTAAAACTTGTTTGAACAGACATTGCAGTTGTGTTTGATGCTCCTAGTGAAATACTTCAGCTTTCCATCACTCCACAGAATTCTGCAGATTTACTCCTGAAATGAGTACAGAAAATATGTGGAAAATATCACACCTCACTGTGTGGGTCTGCTAATAAGTTTAAAGGGGTCATATGATGTTGCTAAAAAGAACATTATTTTGTGTATTTGGTGTAATGAAATGTGTTTATGCGGTTTAAGGTTCAAAAACACATTATTTTCCACATACTGTACATTATTTTTTCTCCTCTGTGCCCCGCCTTTCTGAAATGCGTCGATTTTTACAAAGCTCATCGGTCTGAAAAGCAAGGTGTGCTGTGATTGGCCAGCTATCCAGTGCGTTATGATTGGCCGAATACCTCAAGCATGTGACAGAAATGTTACGCCCCTCACCATACTGTGATGATGCCCTGTCAGGCCAGAGCGATGATTCAAAAACATGAAAACCCTTTATAAACGAGGCCCTCCATAAAATGTGCTGCACACATCTGAATACTTGGGTTGAAGTGTTCTGGAACACGGCAGCCTAGAGTGAGCAGAGGCCGGGGCCAGAGTGAGGAACGGCCGGAGGGCTAGAGGGAGCAGAGGCGGCGGGCTTGAGAACGGCGCGTCCGGCTGATTCGACGAAAGAGCGTCCGGAGGGCTTGCGGAAACCACATGTGACGACCCCGGGCTGGACTCCGCTTCATCCACAGTGAAAGCCGATCCGGTGATCCTCCACGCAAAGTTGATGCATTTCATTACCGACCAGCACGGATCAGCTCTAGGCATGACGAAGCGGATATCGTCCTCTTTTGGAAGGCCAAACAAAGTAGTTTCGCTTTCACAACGAAACACACAGCACCTTCACGACATGGTGGCGGCAACAACAATACTACAGCAAGAATAAAAGTTACGGCTTCTTTCTTTGTGTGAACATTTGGGCGGCGTTATGCAAATCATCCCACATAGTGACGTAGATATGTGGGGGCGTGTTAGAACGAGCAGTTTTAGGTAGGCGTGGCTGACTCTTAACTTTTATAAAGAATATCTCTTTGGATTTGAGACTTTAGTCTTTGCAACTGCTCTTTGCAAGAGCTTGTAACACTCCAAAGAGAAAGGAAAAATTGAAATCGCATCATATGACCCCTTTAAAACAGTTATTGCTGCATGGGATTTGTGGATCTAGTGAGAATGAAACAAGGTCAGGTTACATGGTCATTTCCTTAAAGCACTAAATAAAAATGTTCTTGTTCCAGGTTGCTTCTTTCAAGTTTCAGGTTTGATTAGACATCAGCCACAATAGTGAACTTCCCTTTTGGGTGTTTGATAAGGTTTTACAAATAGTAATGCTTGTTGCAGTTCAACGGGGAGATTCATTTATGCTACTAATAAAAATATATTTATGTTTGCACAGAATGCTGGAGATTTGTATGTTCATTTAGTGGTTTGTTAAAGAACCGATACAAACTTGGGGTTAAAGTTGGACATAGTTGCACAGAGATCCAAACATCATTCAAAAGAGCAGTTTCTGGAAATTTTCTAAATTATAGTTTTATTCGACTGAGTCCATGAAACTACATTCTGAAGTGTAATGCTCTAATGTAAGTATTCGCTCTCCTCCGTTTCTTTTCTGACTGTAAAGTGTTGGCTCAGGTCAGTGTTGCCACCTTGTGAACAAACTAAATAGTTGAAAATTTCAAACTGCATATGCAATCTACACATACCCTAGTGTCACATAAAAACCCAAGTAAGTGCGTGTGATGTGCGTGGCACATTGAATTTCTTTGCACTACTTGGCCCTTTTCAAAAACCCACCCATACAGTTTGTGGATGCGCAACAGCATTCACGTTATCCAAATTAACCAACTCTGACGTCTAGTGTGAAAGCCCCCTAAAAAGGTCAATAATTAGCTGACTGCTTCTCTTCTTGGCTTTGTCTTCAGGAGGTCGTCTCTGTTCCTTCTCGCCGTGTATAGAGCAGGTCCAGAGGACTTGTGAGGCATTACTGGACCATGGCTTTGAGGAGATCTGCACACTGGAGGTTCTGCTCCGGGTGCATGATGTTCGTACTGTCAGTCTGCCCTTACCAGACTTCGGACCAGAGGAGGGCTCTGCTGGCAGCAGCCAGATGGCTTCAGATGTTGGTCAAGAGGAAGTCCCAAACACTGGGAACACCTCTGTGATCTGTAGGACTGCCACACCTCCCAGAGAAATGGCAGGACACACGGGATACCTCACCTTTGCTACCAAACCCCTCGACTAGAAGCATAACTGAAGCTGATGGAGACTGTTATAGTGTTTGAGTTATGCAAACTCATGTCATGACATGTGACGTCATTTGTGCACACCTGTGTGGTCTTTTTTTTCATTTTTATTTTTTTAGATTGGTTAACAGCTAGATGGGCTTTTACATCAATATAACCGTTCATGCCATTTAAAAACTGGTTTAGTACGGACTGATGTTCATTTTTTATTTGTATGGTTTTTTAACAAGTAGATTGTTTTGCTACAATAAATTATTGGAATGCAATAACCATATCTTTGTAGGGTTTTTTTTCTTGTGCTGTTGGCGTTGTTGCAACTTTGTATGACTGTCAGTTGCTGAATGCAATTAGTGCACAGAGATCTGACCTCTCAGAGAGCACAGTGACTTGGAAATTTATGCTCTTCATGACGTATCTCTGTCATGATAAATTTGACTGTTGACATTAGGGATGCACGATATATCGGCCACCATATCGGTATCGGCCGATAAATGCTCATTTTTTCTGTTATCGGTATCGGCCCGATAAGAAAATTTGGCCGATATCTTTAAGCCGATAAATAATGCATTATTTCCTTCAGAGACACTTCAGACGCGCGCTGTTCGTTTGCGTCCTTTTGTGCAATTGTACGTTGTAATATTGTGTTTATTTGATGTATATCTGATTTATCTCACATAGAATGCATTTGGTTAAGTTAAAAGAGTGCTTCAGTTTCCCGGTGATAAACTCAAACAGCAGTGCACAACATTAATAACTATGATTGGGAATGTCGTGTATATAACATTCTAATGAGAACATTATTATAATAAAACGTTGTGAATTCTTTGGGTTTAGTTGCCGTGTTTCAGCGCGTTATGGGAAGAGTGCATCCACAACAGGATCACACATTCTGACTATAGCACGCAATAACTGCGTCATTTTGTACATATATAAGTTGTAATATTATGTTTATGTTGTATTAATATTAATCTCAGGATGCATTTCCTTGAGTTAAATAAGCTGCCAGCAAAACGCTTCAGTTTACCATGTTCATTCAGCTCTTCAGCTTCAGCACGCGCAGCTCAACGGCTGCTATTTAAAACAGTGGTATTAATTTGTTACTTTTTCAAAATCATTGATACATTATTAATAATAACAACCACTTGTATTTTTCTATTATTATTTTCATCAGCAATATGGTTTAGTAATTAAAATAATTTAATTATTGTCTGTGCAGAGGCTATTCCATTTTATTGGTGGCGCATTCATTTTGATGCTTTACACGTGTAATGATGTCCAATGACTTGTTTGCATTATTTATGCATTATTTTATTTATTTGTAAGACTTTTTATGACTAAATTTGGTAATGGGAGAGTAAAATTATTTTTAAAACGTTCACCGTTCAAACTAGACTGCTTATGTTGAAGTGTTCGGGATGTGGTTTTTAATGATGAGACCTTTTTTGTAATCAGGCTCTCAAAAAGTATATAAAAATTTGGATATAGATTTATCGGCCAACATATCGGTTATCGGCTTTCAAAAATAAAGGATTATCGGTTATTGGTATCGGCCAAAATTTTCATATCGGTGCATCCCTAGTTGACATCATCATGTAAAGCTTTGTTTGTGAGGTTTTCATTTGCGTTCATTTGTAAAATCAGCAGTTTCTCACCACTAGTGCTCTCAATTCAAGGCTGTGTCTGTTGTGTATGTTACTTTCTTGCATGTGGAATTGAAAGATACTGAAGAACTAAATGTGCCAACATCTGGTAAATGTTATATCTGAAACTATCTGCTGAGAGCCCTTCTATTCACGAGTCCATAAAAGGCCTTCCTTCTGCAATCTGATGCCTTCACGGATGCTGTATAGAGGTGGATTTACTTATAATTCTCTCACACTCTCTCTTTTGCTCTGTGTGTTATAAACTGTTTGTGCTCTATTTTGGGAAACACGGAGGGTATGAATCATACAGTCAGAGATATAGTCATAAGCTGTGTTTGGAATGGTATATTAGCGTATAGTACATGATTTACTTGCTATTTAAAAAAACATTGTACGTAAACAGGATGCATTGGTCAATGATAATGCTTTAAACAATCTTAAGCTACATTTGTTGTCTCACTACCATGTCATTGCACATATACTTCAGTGGTCAGTTACCATCTTGGAAATCATAAATTATATTTTTAATCCACGTTTGTCTAAAAATGAGAGATTCAGCAATATTAGATTTCTGGTTGATGCCATACAAGCCTATAATTATTTTCATGTGATGGTTATAAATAGTAATAAAATGTGAACTTTAAAATCAATAGTTTAAATGCCACAAGTGAATTTAGGCATCACAACATTATAACGTACAGTATGAAAAATGGCTACTAAAGATTACATTCAACAGTGGTATTGAATAATTAATGTTTTTAAAAGATTAAGTGTGCGTTGGATGACTGCAAAAGCAGGTTTACTTTAAAACTATTTTCACTTAGAAATTGCTAGTAAATTTGATGCAAAGAAACAGCAACTAACAGAAGTAGAAAGATTAGTATGTTCTTGTAAAACATTCTCCAATAATCTTTATTCACAACTCAAAAAATACTTTTTTACAGTGTACCAAAAAAAAAAATAATATAAACTGATGACTTATAACCAATATAGTGCCAATATAGTATGCATCCCTAGTAAAAAATTATAAAAAATCTAAAGTTGTAAACCGATTATAAGACTATTTTACAAGAGTTTTTTTCCACTTAAAATTTTTATGTTCACTTCAAAGTATTATTTGCCGCTGCTTTGTAACAGTGTGTGAAATTTGCTTATAATTTCAGGGAGAAAATTGTTTCTACACCAATTATTATTATTATTTTTTTTTGGTGTATATTAGTCATTCAAAAATGAGTCAAGAAAGAGATGTTAATCATGACTGATATCACTTTATTCATCACACTGGCAGTGGTCAAGTGTGTAGTGCACTCTGTATATTAAACACTGTGTAAATCAGTGTTGTGTGCTTACAGAAAAATTTGCAAGTGCACACTAGTATATACTGCAAAAATAAGAGGAGTATGCAATTCTGAACATTGGTATAATCACATACTCTCAGGCCTATGCGTTACCATGTCATGCTCTTACTGTGTGAGGGATTGTGGGTTATGTAATGCTGGAACTCAAATGCAAAGAAAAAGCCCCTCTTCCCTATTCTGTTTATATATTACATCCATATGTGGGGGATGGAGAGCTGATGATGTAGCAGTGGGACTGGTGTGTTACGTTTAATCCATCTGCTTACTATTAGCACAGTATAGAGCGAGGAATGGGACATCACATCTGATCCACAGCACAGTTTCTGGAATAGCAACTCTTAGTCCCTACAAAACCCTTAAGCAGCTTGTCAGCAAAGACCTCGATTGCCACTTCTTGAAACAGACTCCAGGTAATAATGTGCTCTAAGTGGAGGGCACAAAATGTGCCATAGTTCTCTGTTAAAGTGAGAAAAAGTACAGAATGTGCAGAATTTATAACACAATAAATGGATACATTTCTATACACTACTTTGGGAATAAAAAAAAAACAGTTTGGACTTGTAAAGATATTTTGATGTTTTTGAAGGAAGTAAAATATAGTATTGTGAAATATTGTTACAATTTAAAATAACTTTTCTATTTAAATTTGTACTAATATATATATTGTTTTAATTTATAGAAGTAAAATGTTATTTATTCTAGTGATGCAAAGCTTAATTTTCAGCATCATTACTCCAGTCTTCAGTCGCATGATCTTCAGAAATCATTCTAATGGGCTGATTTGCTGCTGAAGAAACATGTATTATCAATGTTCAAAAAACATTCTTTGATGAATAGAACATTCAAAAGAACAGCACTTATTTCAATTAAAAGTATAAATTCCATTAAAAAATGATTCCAAACTTTGAATGGCAGTGTACATTATCAAATAAAAAACTTTGTAGCAAATGAGTATCTGCCCGTTACCTTCTTACTGTTAACCTTTACTTTAAAGCACAGTGACTGGCATCTATTCTTGACACTATAAATACCCAGACACCCCTTTTAGCACATTATCATTCATATAAGCACCTCTCTCTCTCCCTCCCTCCCTCTCTCAATTCAATTAAATTCATTCTTTATTCAATTGAGTTAATCATGTTTAACACCTAACATTGTGAATGGTTAACACATATTTAGCAGCTAGTGCAGCTGTGTTGTCATCTTCTCCAAGTAAAAAGGGCAATTTCTCAGTATCATTAAGTTCAGTAAATGATGGGATCAGGGCTTCAAATCTGGGGAGAAATGTTCCCCTCACATTGTGATATTTAGGACAAATCAGCAGAAAGTGTTTCTCGTTCTCTATTTGCTGTAGATCACGGTGTCTACAGATGATCTGCTCTTGCTCTGTCCATGTTTGTCTATGTCTTCCTCTCTCTATTTCTAAATCATGGTTACTTAATCTGTATTTGGAGAGGATTTGTCTCTTTAAATGGTTTAATCAATAAATAATTGGCAAATTTAGTGGTTCTGTTTAGGGTTGAGTAGCATTGGAGTTTATTTTGGAGGTCAAAGTGTATTTTTAGAGATTCATCATGAGTGTCTTTTAGATGTTTGTCAATTTCTTTAATAATGGCTTTGGGGTTGAAGCTGTAGTCAGTGAGGAGCTGGGTTTTATGGGTTTTAAGGATGAGATTCTGCTGAGGTTTCATTGGCGAGGAGGGCTTTATATCGGATTGAATCAGGATCAGATTGATAGAGGTGATGCCAGAACTGAACACATCTCTTCTGGATCTCAATCTTCAGTGGGTAGAAGCCTAATTCAGCTCTGCAGGCAGCATTGGACATACCTCTATGGACCCCTAAAACGTTTTTGATCAATTCTAGTTGTAGTTTTTCTATTGAAGTTTTATCCCAATTTGTAAATTATTACTGGTCCCCAAATTTCACTCCCGTACAGTAGAATTGGTTTAATGATTGCGTGATATACTGTAATTTAATCCATGTTTTAATTAGTAATTTTAATTGGCCAAACCATGATTTGATGGCATAAAATACCCTCTGGGCCTTCTCATTCAAGGCCTTCACAGCCAGACTGAAGCCCCCTGATGCTGAGATCTCGATGCCCAGGTAAGTGTAGCTGCTGCTTCTCCTCTGTAACTGAACTGGTATCTGCTTCTCTGAGACCTGGCCCTCTTCTGGAACACCATGACTCTGGTTTTGTCCAGGT